TCATCAAAAGTGAAACTATATGAATATCAAAGACCAGTGATCAGAAAGACATCTAAGGTCAAAATACAACAATGCAGCAAATGCTGAGAATTTCATCAAAAGAAATACTGCCTTCACATCCCTTACTGCAAAAAATGCAGTTCTAAGAATTATATGAAAGAAAATTCATCTTGTTATAAGAAGAATGAAGCATGTGAATGCCTCAATCACTACACTAACTGTCTTGGATCACATGCTGCAGATAATTCATCCTGCTCTATCAGATTAGAAATAAAGAATGAAACTGTTCAAAGACACTCAAGAAACTAGCTGAGAAATATCTGCAATGCACAGAGTAAGACATACTTGACCAAGGCAAGTAACAGCAAATGTGATGATTGAGGTCCATCAGCAGATCTGAGATTGAATGATTCTACTGAGTGCAGATCTAATCTCACACTGACATCAAACACAGCATCAAGCATAGCATTGAGCACAGCATCAGGCACAGCATTAGACATGGCACTCAACTCAACATCTAATGCAACACTGAATATGTCATCTCATACAATAATACTCTTCTTTCAGCTACTCAATGAAGAAGAACTCTAGGTCTCTACAATTCCTGCAGATTATGCAAGTCAATGTAGAAAAAGAGAGTTCAGCATATGAGACAACTCTCAATCTAGCATTTGAAAGAAAGACTGATATTCTTCTCATACAGAAATTCTGAATTCACAGAAACTTAAGTTAACACATTTTTAAAAAGCATTCAGCATTCAACTGCTTTGTCTCAATTGAAAAGTGAGACAGAAAGCCACAGATTCTCATCTATGTATGTAAACACTCACAAATTCATGCTCATGCAGTTTCAGGTCTCTGAGCAGAAAACTGAGACATTCACATACTGCACATACAGATCTGGAGTCTACAGCTTCAGACAGTCAATATATACAATGCACCTTCAGATGCAAAGAATTCTGAACAAGGTGTGAGCTGTCTTCTCTTCTGATCTGTCTCAGCACTCTCATTGCTTCTTGCTGATGATCTCAATATCAAGCACTCTGTGTGACAATCAGAAGTGTCTTCAAGCATGTGAGCAGAATCATTCCTGCAATGAATTATGAATTTCAACTTTACTCTCATCATGGACTCAGACACTCTCACATGTGGGCATAACATGATAGACCTGGTCTGAGTCACTCTGGAATTAGTTATCAAAGAAGTGAACACATAGGTGAACAGATTTCTTACACCTTCTCTGATCATCAGACTTTTCTCATCAAAATTAGTCTTTCACAGAATACAAGGCCTGATAGATCACTTCATTTTTTCTGTCTTGACATCATAGATGAGAAGGTCTTTAATCAGACACTGAAGGTCTATAAGTCAAAACTAGACAAACTATGTGATATCTCAGAGTACTCCAATACAGATCAGCTAGATGCCCTGACTAAAGATATCACAGATGCACTAATAGCTTCTCTGAAAAGTTTCATCAAGAAGAGTACTGGGCAAGGTACAGGTCAGTCATGATGAAATGAGAACTGTCAGAAAGCAGTGACAATACTACATTAAGCACAGTGCCTAGACTCTAGTTTTTTATAAGAGCAAAAAGCAACATAGTCAGAATCATCAGGAAAGCCAAGAGAGAATACTGATGAGGCAAGATAGCAGAGGCCTCAGTGAGGAAAAATATCTTTAAGATGATCAAATGAGCTCATTCAACTGACTCTTTTCATTCTCCTCCTCTTGTAGATGAAGAGACTGGGCTAACATGAACAATCTCTAAAGAGAAAAGAGATCTTCTGCAACAGGTGCTCTTACAGAAGGCTGCAAGCAGAGAGAATATCTCAGTTAGCTGATTCAACTCATCATCTGTTAAATTATCATTTTCTGTTGTCTCAGCACATGAGATACAAAGTTCTCTGCTGAACACAGATAATATCACTTCAAGAACTGATGAAGTGCCAACAGAGGTGCTATGAAAGGCATGGCCACATATTAAGGTATCAGTAGAAAGACTGTTCAGAGTCTGTCTTAGAGTTGACTAGCACTCAATCTTCTTTTGAGATGTTACACTGATTGTGCTGTCTAAGATCAACAGAGATTCAACACTCTTGCAATTCTATAGACTTATAGCTCTTCTCTCAATGTTGAGAAAGGAATTGAAATATCTGATAGTCTGTAGACTGGCCTGAACAGCTATACAAGAGAAGATTGTTCATCTTCAGCATTTTGAAGTTCTCTCTGAGTGAGCTGCCTCAGACCTAGTGGCAGTGATGATTCATGATATAGAGAAAGTCTGAGTCTATGAAAAAGTAGTCTCTCTTCTTACTCTGAACATCAAGAGTGCTTTTGATGCTGTACTCAGAGAAAGAATGCTGCAGAGATTGCAAGAACAAGACTGATCATCAAATTTAATTAGATGAGTGAAAAGCTTCATGACAGAACACACAGGCAGAATCAGATTGAATGAACTTCTGAAAGAGCTCTTTGATATCTCAGCAGGACTTTCATAAGGCTCACTAGTCTCACTTATTCTATTCATGCTGTATATTCAGTCTCTGTTCTTTCTAGAAACTATACAAAGAAGACATGCACACTCAGACTATGCAGATGATCTAGAACTGCTTAGTGCTGAAATCACTCTTGAAGAAAATGTTGTTACTCTTCAGAAGAATTTCAAGATGCTAAATAATTGAATCAGCAAAGAAGAGCTAACATTTGATTTTGTCAAAACTGAGTTAGCACACTTCACACAGTGCAGAATTCTTTCAAACCTCTCAATTGATCTTGAAACAACATCTGACACTCACTCTATTACAGCAAATGCAGTGAAAAGCTTCATAAGATATCTAGAAATCTGACTAGATAGAAAACTGAGCTTCAAGAAACACATGAAGACTATGACAGCTAAGACATAACAGGTGTCTAATGATATACAGGCACTAAGCAACACAGCAAGAGGCACCTCAGTACAACTGCTTAGACAATTCATTCAGGCCTGTGTGCTTTCTGTACTCTGCTATGGAGCAGAAGCCTGATGACCTGAAGCCATACAAATAGAGAAGAAAAAGAAAATCTTCAATTGAATAAATTGTCTAGTCAGAAAGCTAGATCTAGTTCTTAGAGATGCTTTGTGAGAGGCACTGTCAGTCTACAAGATCACACTCATTTCAGCTCTACACTGTGAGCTAGAAATCATGTCAATAAAAGAGACACTAGACAATTGATGTGCTGTATTTGCAGTAAGAATCAAAAAGCTTGACAAGAGACACTCACTAGTGAGGCACTCTAATAAGTAGCTATCATCAAGCTCTATATCACATGTCTGTCTAGAGTGTCCAGTCATGCTGATGGAATAGAAGCATATGATTCTCTACTCACATCTTCTTGAATGAGATTTCTCAGAAAAGAAGATCTGCAGATTGAGTATGAGACAGACTGTACAAAGAAACAGATAGCACAAGACTTTAAGAGCTGACTACAACAATGTAATTCTCTGAATCTGATGATCTTTACTGATGATTCACAGATAGAGCACTCTCAGTGTATGATTAATACAGAATGAGTTATATGCTGAGATAGTGAACATCATCTAATCTTCACAGAAAATCTGTCAATGAATAAAGCAGAGATCTTTGATACAGAGACAGTGACAGCTCTGCAGAGTCTAAAGAAAGTCATCATCTCTTTTCAGATAAAGTTTGTTAGCAATGTCTACATTTGTCTAGATAATTTGAAGATAGCATGAGTTCTTGAATCTGTGTCAAACATCTCTAGTCAGCAGATTTTCACACAGTTTCTGAAAGTCATAAAGATCTGACAGAGTAGAAATAGACTCTCATTGATCACTCAGAGCAGAATGATTATTAGATGAGTCTCAGATCACACAAATATGACTGATAATAAAAAGACAGATCTTGAAGTCAAAGTAGCTGCAGTGCAGACAGCAAGTGCAAGCATGATATCTCAATTTAACAGTATAGACACTCTAGCTTATATAAAGTGACATACTATGAAACAAATCACACAGGTATTTGAGAACTACTGAGTCAAAAATCAGCTCAAACACTATATGAAGCTGAAGATCTCACTAAAGAGAGTCTCAACAGAGATAAAACTTTCATGCTTCACATTAAAAAAGCTCTATGCTGTCTGATCAGATCATGAAGACTTTACAGTCTATTATAGTCATCTTAAGCATAAAGATGCAGAGTGCTACTGCTGATGCAGTCATAGCAAAATCTCTGAACATTTCTACTATTGCACTCTTGCAAGAAAAGCAGTAAAGTGATGTCAGTCTATCTACAATCTTCATGAGACACTGACAACCTTGTATGAAGTTCTAGAATTCAATAACTGACTAAGAGAAACAGTCTTCTATCAGAATATCTGTTCAATGTATTGTCATACATCTTCAGATCAGATCTTACAGATCATCTTCTTCTCTGTTTTACTCTCATTCTTCTCATCATTTTCTTCTTCTTTCTCTCTTTTCTTTTCTTTTTTTTCTTTCTTGTCTTTCTTTCTATTCATCTTTTCTACCTCTCTCTCACAAATCTAAAATCTCTCAAAATCTCTGCTCTATGACAACTGACTCATGGGCTCTACCAGTGCAGCAATATACAACCCTTTTGCCTCATTTGTAAGATAGCTACTAGATAGATAATCATCTATGAGCACAGCTCTACTCATCCTATAGTTTGACGCAGACTCTACTAGATCACATACACATACACACACACACCCCTTTTTCCTCATCAATCTTAGTATTTTCATTACATAGCAGTTAGCAACGCAGAGAGTTTCCTTCTTATGCAGCTCGCATTCACTCCCTAACAGAGTATCTTAAAGCTGACTGTTGAACAAAATATTCAGAAAAACACCCTGCAGACCATAAAGGAAAGAATATTCATAAGAACAAGGATAAGAATATTGACAACACTGCTTCAGTCCATAGTGTTGTGGAGCAAGTATTCTGTACCAAAGAGACAGCATACTCCAGTGATAAAGTGATGGAGGATACCTGGGTCCTAGACTCTAGATCAGAAGCCCACATCACACCTCTGAAGGATATTGTCAAGGTTACACCTCAGAGGATGAATGTCATGCTGGAGATGGCAGATGGATCTACAGCCCCAATAGCAGCTGCAGGAAGGATAAGCATCTCAACTGAGGACATAGATACCCAACTGGATGATGTCCATTACATCCTGAAGCTAGAGGTCAACCTAATGAGCCTCGACAAACTTGTATGCAAAGGTTATACTTTCAAACAGTTGACGTACGGCAATAATCATTCAATTTTGGTGATGTCTCCTGACAGGATGACAAATTTCACAGTGAATTTGAATGATGAAAATATCTATGTGGTGGAGAAGCCGCCAGCATTGAGAGATATGATTGGTTGTGTGATGCCAAATGGATGATTGATTTTTACACTGTTTTGAGGCCTCTAAGGAGGTGTAAAGAGAATACAGATTAGGGGATTAATTGCGTGTTTTCTTTGCAAAGTTACTGTACAGATGCGTAATAGAGCTTTTCCTAATAGGGAAACTAGCATCTGATTCCAGTATTTAATTTTTTTATTGCGGATTTGAGGGGATTCAGCAGCTAGGGGATAGGTGGCAGAGCTCGGGCTCAACGTGGCATGGAGGGGGTGGAGGATTCCCCAGCTACCCGAGGTCACGTGCACCTATATATATTTATTGTCAAGGATAGATTGCTTGATTGATTATGAAGCGATCACTAGCTACGCGAAGGTTATATACAGTGTGGATTATGTAAGAAGGCGGATAGGCCTGACACCCCCACTCACTGATGTAACTGTATGTGAGATTACATACAAAAAAATAGCCTGTAGCTAGGTATCAGTGCATAATTTGACTGGAAAACCCATATTGTTGAAAAATCAGTCATTTTCTCCATATAATCATTTCTGCCTGCTTACTGCATCTTCTAATATCTGTCATCATAGGACATATCTAGTCACCTCAAGTGGCTTAATCAGCTCATCTGCTGTATTCTTAGTGGACAGAACATAATCAATCAAGATCTCATTCTTGCAGACAAGATTCTGAAGAGTATGGAAGTGAATCTCTATATGCTTAGATTGGTGTAGAATAGTCTCACTTTTGATCAGTTCAATCACTGATTTATTATCTGCTCAAATCATATACACCAGCTTATTGGCTGATGATTTGATCAGGTTATCATTATTATCAAGATTATTGAGTCAGGATGACATGAAGCTGGCATCCTCCAGCAATTTCTGAAGGCAGACAAGTTCATAGACAGTCTCTGAGAATGCAATATATTCAGTCTCAGTAGATGATTTCAAAACACCTGTCTGCTTGCTGTTTCACCAAGCAACAGGACTCTTTGCCATATAAATAACATATCTGATGGTGAAGCAGAAACCTAGATCACAGTTTGCTCAATCAGCATCAGTGAACATCACAGATTCTATATCTGTGTCTTTTTGATAGAACACATCTATGTCAGATGTGCCTTGTAGATATCTAAGAATTTGCTTGAATGCCACTCAATTCTTTGAGATATAGCAGTAGCTGAATCTCTCTAGGAAGTTAGCAGCAAAGCTTATATTAGAATGTGTGTTGACAGTGAGATATTGCAGAGAGTCAATCCTTGATTGATAGAAATGTAATGTAAATTCCACTGTATAAGCAATTGATTCTTCATTATCACTCATGAAATCAACATTCTTCTTCATAGAGAAAGATGTTGAGTGACAGTCATTTATTGAGAATTTCTCAAGCAGGTTCTTTATGAACAGTGGCTGGGACAGTGATAATGATTCAGCATCTCAATCAATCTTCATACTCAAATACCAGTTTGAATTGCCCACATCCTTGATCTCATAATTAGTGGTGATCTGGGCTTTTGTCCACTCAATATTCAATATATTCAGGCTGTATAGATGAACATTGTCCATGTAGATAATTATATAAACCTTGCAGATGTCATTTATGAAAAAACTGACATCATGAGAACTGACATGGAAGTCTGTTTTCAATAGCAAATTTTTACAGCTTCTCATATCATAATAGTGCTACTTGCTTCAGATCATATAGTCTCTGCATCAATTCACATATCAAATCACCACATCCCTCACAGAACCCAGTAGGTTGGTGCATATATATACATTCATTGATGAGAAGCTGAGCATTTAAAAATGCTGTAACCATGTCAATCTGCAGAATGTGCTATCCTCAGAATACCAAGATTGCCATAAGTGCTCAGCAGGTGGAGGCTGATACAACTAATGCAAATGTCTTTGAGTAGTTGACACTCTTTTCTTAATAATTGCTGCAGACTACTCAGCAGGCCTTATATCAATCAATTCTACCTGCATTATACTAGTCATCATGTATCAATCTGCTTAAGGCAGTTAATCTCCTTAATGCAGACATGAAAGTAATATTTTCAATCTGCAGACACCTGAGCCTGGGTGAGGTTCTTCAGAACTGGCAAGCCAGCAATCTTGAAGTCTGCAGAGATGTCAGTCAAATTGTCAGTGAAATCTTTCACTGAGGCCTCCCTCACTGAAGTAATATTCTCAGTGAGCATTGGAGGATCCTTCATCTCTAAAGTGAACCTTGGGAGAGCAGTAGTGTTCCACATCAAAAATGTTGAAATTCACACAGTAATCTCATAGTCTATCTATCAATTATTTGTAGAGTGTAGAAATACTGAGAGGACAGGTAAAGACTTCTCATCCACCATGAAATCATCTGTTGATAAATTGTGTTGAGTGGAGAGGATCACAACTACAGTCATGCAGACAGTGAAAGACAGGTTCTTGACACCTTGCTCAGACAGGGCCAGAGAATCTGTCAAATGAAGATCTTCTTGAAATATCATGTCTTTTGATGTGTAAAGATGACTGTTAGAAGGATCAACCAATCTATAATTAGTAAAACCATCATAGCCTATAAATATAAGCTCCTGTGATCATGAGGTCATCTTCATATTTGACTTGAGCACTATTTTTAAATAAGTCTTACACCCTCATCAGTGAATTCTATGTGTGGAGAGCAGGGCCCTGAGCCAAGCTTCATATGAGATAATTGACTTCAGATTCAGATCCTCTACACCATTATAGAGCTTGACTGACATTAGCATAAGATTAAGCATTTCAGTCACTGCAATTACCACTTCACCCCACATCTGAGGGGGAGTGGAGAAATCTATTAATAATGTTCAGGCTTTTTCAATAATCAAGCCAATAGAATGTTCAGACACACCATCTTGCTGCAGAGTATGAGTTGGGATTGATTCCCATTTAATACCCTCACTCATCATATAGGTGGCTGCTGTGTTTGAATTCAACTCACCACAGTCAGAGTAGATAATTGCAACACCATGATTGAGCAGATTCTTCATAAATTGGTTGAAGGTCCATATATATTTTAGAGCCTCATTATGATACTTTAATAGGAAGGTTCATCATATTCACATGGCATTGTCAGTGATCATCATCACAAGCTTCCTACTCACATAGGATGGTGTATCTTCTTCATTACCAAGTGTTTCTCCATCCCTGAATAGGTCCACCCAAATCTTAAGACCTTTGTGAGTGGCATGGTGTAGAGGAGCATTTTTATAACTTGCACATTTATACTTGACTTTAATGCATGTGATGCAGAATGAGAGCTTCTTTGAGCTGATGATGACAATTCTGAAACAGGACTCCCATGACATTTTAATTAGATTCTTCTCATCAATATGGCTCAACTGTCAGTGTCACTCATCAATCAGTAGCTGCTTCAGCATAATAGCGGGTAAGCAAGTTGGTGAGGACAAAATGAAGGTATCAGTATTTGAATCCTTCAGGTTAATTAGCTGCTCTATGTCATTGCAGTTGAAAAGACCCAGTGATGCAGCATTCAGATCATAATCTATTGAAATTGCCCTGGGCTTCAGAATCATCAAGTATGCCAGTGGTCCAAGCTTCAGATTATTCATAATACCTCTGAACATAGAGAAAATATCAGATAGAACATATATATTATTGAAATTCAAATTCATGTAGAAGATGTCATTTTCTGTAGATGCTATTATCTCAAAGTAATTTTCAGCATTCACCTGCAGATCATGATGAATATAGTCCTGGCATTCCAATAGGCCAGTGGATATAAAGTTGGCAGATAAGCCTGGCACCAAATAGATGTGCTCAAATTCAATTAATCTTTCCCTGACTGGGATGAAGACAACTCTGATTCCTTGAACCTTCAAGGTAGCTTTGTTGGCCACTTGAATCATAGAGCTGCTAATCTTTGTTATTTAAGAAAATCACAATCAATCACATACAATATGACATCTGACCTCACTATTTCATATAATGAATGGGTTGATGATTGGTTCAGCAGAGTATGCAGGCACCTCAATGACCTGCACTAGATTTGTCATTTAAAATATCTCAGAGCTGTTATTTGCAGTTGATGAAGTCTTCTTGCTCTCACTACTCTTCTTATTATTATATTTCTCTATTCTTGCTGTGTTGGTGATTCTTTATTCTTCAGAAGCACTATTCAGATTGGCTGCCCAGCAGAGCCCACCATGATGATGCTCACATTTCAGGCAGATTGAGAGGTCAGACTTTGAACATTCACTCATTCAATAGCCTTCATGTCCCCTGGGTCAATCTCCACAGGCTGAATTATTTTGAATATTGCTGCTATTATTGGAACCTGCAGCTGTGTTTTCAGCCTGAGCCACATTGACTGAAGAATTAGCCACCTGAGCAGGCTTCTTAATCTCTTTGAGAGAATTCAATTGAGAGTGTATTTCCTCCATGGTTGAATGAACATCCAACACAACAGACTTTGATTTAGACTCTTGTACCTCCTCAATTTTCTTTTGCACATAGTTTCATCATATATTGAGAAGTACAGAATAGAACACATGGAATATCATATCATTTGGCAGTAAGATATCAAGTATTTCTAATTTCATAATAACATCATTGAACTTATCAAAAAATGTGTGTACATCAGTGACTTGAACACCACTTATTGATGTAAATGCCAGGACTGCTTTCCTGCAGAGCTGTATTCTTAGAATGAAGAACTCCTCCTCAATCACACATCAAAGAGAATAAATGATTCTGCCCTCATCATACTTATTAAAATGAGGCCTAATGCTGGCTGCCAACGCGTTCAAAATGAATGTATAAAGTCAGCAATTTTTGGCCTCTCAAAAAAAAGCTCATTCAGAGTCTCCATCAGGGCTTTTGACTTGTTTGTCCTCCAATATAACCCAGCATTGAGCATCAATTAGCTTGGCCTTCATATTCACATGCCAGGAGAGGTAATTTGAAGATCTGACCAGAGCATTCAGCTTGATGGCATATTTAGTATTCTGTTTGAACTGGCTGATCACCTTGCTGACATGGCTATCCAGGTCA